GGCCAGCGCTGGAGGGGAGGGACGGGTGACCCGCTGCATGTCTGGTTGGGGGACGGCTGGGTCGTGGCTGCGTCTTTTCCCTGCACGTCGTGTTGCGGGTTTCCTTCTCAGCCAGATAAACCATCTTACTTGTCTGAGCGCATTAGCCCAGCGGTCTCGAGGCTGCTTACAGGTGTGGGATGCTCCCTGGCTGGTAGTGGGGATTAGGGCTGGGGGGGGGGGCACCTGGAGTGCTGGAGACCCCGTCCTGCACTGTGTGTCGCTTTCCCCCACCCCCACCCAAAGAAAGGGCTTGGCCAGAAGAAAGGGCTTTTGCTTCCCCAGGAGCGAGGCTGTACGCTGCCCTCCTGTGGGGCTCTGTGAGAGCGGTAAGAGCCAAGACTGCTTAAGAGTGAAGCTCGCGGGGCCCGGAGGGATAGTCCAGCGGGGAGGACGCTTGCCTTGCATGCAGCCAGCCTGGGTTCCATCCCCGGCACCCTCTAGGGTCCTCCCGAGCTCCACCAGGAGTGATGCCTGAGAACAGAGCCAGGTGTCAACCCTGAGCATGGCCGGGGAGGGGTGGGGGGAGAGGGGGACGGGGGAAACAGAAAAACCCAACAGAAAAGTGAAGCTCGAGGTCCCTGGCTGGTGCTGACTGCCTGCCTGCTGCCTTGCTCACCCGCTGTGTGACCTTGGGCACTAGCTCAGCTGCTCTGGGCTTCGTTTCCTCACATGCAACGGGCCCTGTCGGCCAGAGCTGACAGCAGGGCAGGTATTTGCCTTGCACGCGGCTGGCCCAGTTTCCATCTGCCCAGCGTCCCATGGGCTGCCCCGAGCCCCTCCAGGAGTGATCCCTGAGTGCAGAGCCAGGAGTCAGCCCTGAGTACCGCCGGGCATGGCCCCCAAACAACATCCCATGGAAACGGGCCACGATGGCACAAGCCTCAGCGCTCCCCCTTCACTCCGAAGCCCCAATGTCCTGGTCCGCATCCTGCAGGAAGGTGTCGAGCTGACTTCCCATGTGGTGGTGGGGGCGTCTCCCAGGCTTAGGGAGCCTCAGGAAGTGGACTGTCAACCCCCCAACCCCCGTGCATTTATCCAGGACATGCCCCCCCGCCCCGCCCCCCCCGTGACTGTCGCCCTTTGCCTGAGCAGCAGTGTTCCTCTTGGGGAGGGACTTCCTTGGGTGGGGTGGGGGGGGCTGCCCGTCGAGTGCTCAGAGAAGTCGGGAGCACAGGGGTTACGGCGCTGGCCTTGCCTGTTGGGAGCCGGATTTGAACCCAGCACCCCCGCGGGCTCATCCCAAGAATGACCAAGATTGTTCCTCCAGGCACAGAGCCAGGAGTCAGCCCCCAACCCCACCGGGTGTGACCCAGAAGCCAGTGAGGAAAGGAAGGGAAAGGGGACCGTGACAGTGGTTTCCCAGTGGCTGGAGCTTTCTGTTGGAGAGAAATCGGGAGTCTCCCCAGCAGTGGTGCATTGCTGGGAGTGCAGGGCACGAGCTCCCTGGGTGCCCTGCCTTCCTGAGCTGGCCGGGGCCCCTTCGCAAAAGTGTGTCCACCGCTTCCTGCTTACCTGGGCAGCTCCCCCAGGCCCGTGGGTCAGGCCCTCCTGGGGCTAGTTTCAGAGCTAATTTCAGCTTCCCCTTTCTGAGTTGGCCAGGGGCTTTCTCACTGACTTACGGGGACGCTGCCTTGGCCTCTCAAAATAGCCAGTGTTTCCCCAGCAGAAAGCATCCCGGCTGCAGTGGGATCCTCGGGAGGCGCCCGCTCTAAGCGGCAGCGGGCGGAGGGACTGTCACCCGGCTGCAACGCCCAGCTTGCCTGCTCCTGGCTTCTCTTTCGAGCCCACCGAGCGGTCCTTTTCACTATCAGACTGAAAGTGGGGAAGCGGAGGCTGATCTGGGAGCCTCCACCTTAGCCCAAGGAGCTTTCCCGACTCCCTGTCACTTTTGAATCATTCATAAAAGTCTCTCCTGGGAAAAAGTGGAAAAGCAAAGAATAATTAGAGAAATAATAGCGGAGAACTCATCTGATCTCAGAACAAGTTCCACCTCCGGGCAAAGATGATCCAAGCACACTTTAATCGAAATTGCAAGTATCAGATGTTAATGGTGTTTAACGATAAGTTGCTTTAGATTGGCTTTAAGTTTTAATATATTATTTATATACCACTTGGGCTGGAGTGATAGCACAGCGGTAGGGCGTTTGCCTTGCACACAGCCAGCCCGGCTGAGCCGGACTCGATTCCTCCGCCCCTCTCGGAGAGCCCGGCAAGCTACCGAGAGTAACTCACCCACGCGGCAAAGCCTGGCAAGCTCCCTGTGACATATTCGATATGCCAAACACACTAACAAAAAGTCTCGCAATGGAGATGTTACTGGGCTGCTCGAGCAAATCGATGAACAACAGGAGGACAGTGTTTGTTTGTTTTATTTACATACTAGCAGGGCTTCCCATCCCCATAGTAGGCGAATATACATTCTTCTGTGCCTTCAGAGAACATTACGCAGGCTAAGCCGTGCATCGGAACACTCAGCAAGTTTGAATGACGTTATAAAGATTTAAATAATACAAAAAAAATAAATAAATAAAAGTCTCTCCTGGGCCTCGTGGAGTCCAGAACGGCTTTCCGGGTCGAGCCTGAAGGGTGTCTGTCAGGGGCGTGTCCGTATGTCTGGCTCCCTCCTCTGCTCTGTAGAAGCTGCAACTCAGCCCTGGCCCTCCTCACCTGCTGCCGTTCCGTGAATGGTCCAGGCCCGGGTGGGGGGGGAGGGGGCGTGGGGCGGAGGAGGCCTGTGAAGGCCAGAAGGGCCGGTTTCTCTGCAGGGGAGGTGGGGTTTCTGTGAAGGGTTTCGGGGTTCTATTTATCACCACCCCCAGCAGGACTCAGGGCTGACTCCTGGCTCTGTGCTCAGGAATCACTTCTGGCAGGGCCCCTGGGACCCTATGGGGTGATAGCAGTCAAACAAATGCCTCAGCTCCTGGACTCACTCTCTCTCCAGCCGCCTGCTTTTTGAAGTTGATGTTTATTTACTTGTTTTTAAAGACAAGCTGGAGATAGGCTTAGCGTTGGCTTGCTCTGATAGTACTGGTGGCTGGCGTTGGATAGACTCCTTGGTGGTACCAGGGAGGAAGTAGACGGCTCAGCACACCCGAGCTTCCCGTTCCCACACGCAGGAGGATGTCACGCCGAGGACACCCTTGGCCCCATCCGGCAAGCCCCAGCCCGTATCCGAGAGGAAGCTCTCATGCTGGTGCCCTTTGATCTCCCGAGAAACTTCTCTTCTGGATCCAGCTCCAGTGACCTACGTCAGGCAACCTCTTGACCGGAATGTGGGGTTCCGTCCTTCCCGCTCCCTGAGATGGGTCCCCGGAAACTGATGGAACAGCCCTGAGACCCTGCCCTCACCCCGGGCGGAGGTGACCAAGCCCTAGGTCTCTCATGTGTGGGATGCGTGTCCTGTGCCGGCAGCTCAGCTGAGGGTATGAATTTGCTTAGAAACTGAAAGTCCTACCCGGAGGGGACAGAGAGAGAGTACAGTGGGTGGTGCCCGGGTTCCATCCCTGGCATCCCATAGGGTCCCCCAAGTATGCAGGAGTGACCCTGAATGCAGAGCCAGGAGTAAGCCCTGAGCACCAGTGGTTGGGGCCCCAAAACAAAAAAAAAAAAAAAAAAGAAGAAAACGTTTCCAGGGAATGAACCCGAATGAAGACCTGCAGTCTGGCTCTGTTGGGAGAGGCGGGGCGCCCACCCAGCAATGCTCAGGGGTGACTCTGGCTCTCTACTCAGGGATCACTCCTGGCGGTGCTCAGGGGCCCCCATGGGGCACTGGGAATTGAAGCCAGGTCAGCTTCGCTCTCGCTCTGGGCGCCCATGCCGGCTGGCTCACAGGGAAGCGTTCTTGTTTATGTTCAGTGCTCAAAGCTGGTGTGTTGCTAACGAACGCAGCTGTGGATGGGCGGCTGGGCGTTCTCAGAACCAAGACGCCGTTCAAGCGCACGCACTCACATCCCGGGCTCTTGAAACACAGACACAGGGGCCTAGCAACCCGCCCTCACCAAGGAAATATCTCCTGGAGAAGCAGGGCAAAGCAGACGTGTGTGTGTGTGTGTGTGTGTGTGTGTGCGCGCGCGTGTGTGTGTGTGTGTGTGTGTGTGTGTGATTCCCAAGAAGAGTTGGGCAGCTGAGCGCCACCCACTGTGCTCTGTGCATGGTGCCTGGTTTCAGTCTTTGCTGTCAGGGAAGGGCTCGGCGCCTTCCTCCCCTGTGGTTGTGGTTGCTCTCCAGAACGTGTCCCCGTGCCTGCCATCTCCCTGTGACCTTCTGCCCCTAACTGACCGTGAGCACAGAGGGACAGGTGCCTGCCTACAGCATCCCTTTATTTCAGAAAAGTTCTTTGAAAAGCAAAGTGGTCCAGAACAAAATAAAAACAAGAGCTGGTGTCTTTAAAGAGATGAAGTCTCTGTTTCTTTGAACAAGGAAACACAGGTCAAAGAAATAACGTTAACTATATTGAAAACTATATTACAGTATTAACATTTTGATGGGTTTTTTTTTTACATGGACAGTTACACCATCTTCACAGTCTTTCTGGCTTTGGCCAGTTTATCAGCAGGATGTATTAATGAATAAGTTTTTTCGCTGACGGTGGACTTTTCTTTTTATCCTGAGTCATTGGAATCATTTCTCTTTCACCGTCAGATTTTTATTTCCAAAGTAGGATCTTGCTTTTGTCATCATTGTTCTCCAGCACAGAAAACGGCAAAAGCGTTGGTGTTTCACGTTGTTCGCCGGCGTGTGAAAAATGCCCCAAAGTATCTGTTGGCTTCCAAGTTTGAAAGTCAGAAATGGGTTGCCCGGCACAAAAGGCGTTTATAAGTTGGACGTGGGGCAGCCCTTGTGCCCTCAAACCCGCAGGGCTGCCCCTCCAGTCCCCCTTGCCAGCCCTTGTGCCCTCGAACCCCAAGGGCTGCCCCTCCAGCCCCCCTGCGACGTGGCCTCGGCCACTCCTTCCTTCCTCACTTGCCGCCGTTGAGAGACTTGGAGTGCACCATGGTCTGGGTGTCCGTCATCTCTCGCGAGTTGTCCTCGGGGGCCGAGCGCGCGGCGCTGGAGATGGAGACGCTCGCTTGACGCCTGAGTATCTTCATGACCTTGCGCTTGTAGCCCTTGCAGGTGAAGAAGTAGATGAAGGGGTCCATGCAGCAGTTGAAGTTCATCAGGCAGACGGTGACGTGCAGGGCCAGCTGGAAGGAGTACCGGGGGCCGCAGCCCAGCGGGCCCGGCGTGCTCAGCTTCCGCACCATGTGCTGGACCAGCGCCACGTGGTAGGGCGTGAAGCAGAGCACGAAGACCACGATGATGAAGACGATGGTGTGCAGCGCCTTCCGGTTGACCCCCGACCGCTCGCTCAGCGGGTTCTGCTTGGCGGTCCGGAAGAGCTTGCAGCAGATGCGGGAGTAGCAGAAGAGGATGATGGCCAGCGGGAGCACGTAGCCCACCAGGCAGGCGCCCAGCAGCACCCAGGGCAGCGCGGGCGTCTCCTCGAAGTTGGGGTACTCCATGCACGTGGTGCGGTTGCCCTCGCGCTTGGACATGGGGCTGACGAGCAGCGGCAGGGTCTGGACGAACACCAGCAGCCAGACCCCCACGCAGACGCCCTTGGCCTGCTCCGCCCGCTTCATCCTGCTGTAGCGCAGCGGGTGCACCACGGCCACGAAGCGGTCCACGCTCAGGCAGGTCATGAAGTTGACACCCGCGTAGGTGTTGATGTAGAAGAGCAGTGCCGTGGCCCGGCACAGGGCCTCGCCCAGCCGCCAGTCGAAGCCCAGCGCGTAGTAGGCGATGCGGGCGGGCAGGGCCGTGGTGAAGAGGATGTCCGACACCACCAGGTTGGTGGAGTAGAGCGTGGTGGAGTTGAGTTTCTTGCGGTTCTGCACGATGACCACCAGGGCCAGCGCGTTGCCCAGCAGCCCGATGGCAAAGACGGCGCAGTAGTGCAGGGGCATGAGCACCCTGGCCGTGCCGTGGTGGGCGTAGAGGTCGCAGTCACCACCGACCACGGGCGCGGTGAGGTTGGGGTCCATCTCGGCGTCAGGCCAGGCGCGGGCCACGGTGTCTCTGCGGAAGAGCCAGACGGTTACACTCAATGACAAGCACCGGGGGCAAGGCGGAGGGGGAGCTCCCGCGGGGACAGGGCACGGTGGGGAGAGCACTGGCCGCTGACCCGGGATTTGTACCCGCACCATGTACGCCCCCTCAAGCCCCAAGCACCACTGGGGGTGACCCCGGGGGGGGGGGGACAAAAACCAAAAGCGCGTGTCACTCCAAGCAAAGAGGAAGTAAAGAGGAAGTACCTTCTGTCAAGCGAGCTTTTCAAAATATAATCTGAGGGGCTGGAGCAATAGCACTGTAGGGAAGGCATTTGCCTTGCATGCGGCCAACCTGGGTTCGATTCCCAGCATCCCATGTCATCCCCTGAGCACCGCCAGGAGTGATTCTTGAGTGAAAAGCCAGGAGTAACCCCTGTGCATCGCAGAATGTGACCCAAAAAGCAAAAACAAAAACAAAAGCATCTATAACCTGAAAGATCCCTATCTGATAGGTGACTGTTGAAACCGGGGCTGCCAGAAGGAGCAGAGAGTCCTTCACTCTTGGGCCTTGATGGTTTTTGGCAACGCCAACGGGCAAAAGAAACAGAGCCACTTAAATAGGGCTCACGGGCTTGGGGACAAGTCTGTCCCTGTCCCCTTTTCTGAATCATCATCTGGTTTATAATTAAATCCTGGGGAGCAGCCCCTCAGGTTTTAGAAAGCGTAAAACGGTGGCTTGGAAATTGAATTTCACTTAGAACTTTATTATTTTTCTTTTTCTCTTGCTTCTTTTTTGGTGTCAAATGAGTTATCAGTGCCAGGAAATGAAATCAGTTTCAGGTCTGTGTCATGAAGCATGGACTCCACACAGGGATCTGATTTGTGTTAACCAGAAGAGGCTGAGTAGCAAGCTCAGCCCCCGCTAGGAACCGAAAGTTCGTCTTCTTCAGTCACAAAGGGTGAAGAGCTGAGTGAGAGAACAGCAGGAGGGAGCTCGCCCACCCCCCCACGCTCAACCCCCGGCATCCTATAGGGAACCCTGAGCATCGCCGGGGGTGACATCCCCCCCTCCCAGCAAAAATAAATAAAAGTAAAAGAAAATGACAATGATCGTGGCAACCACCACAAAAAGAGAGAAACATGAAAGAGAAAGAAGAGCCGTTGCTGCCTTCCGCAGAAGCATCCCCTTAACAGACATGCCGGGCCTCCGTCCCTGTCCCATCCCACGTCTGTGCATGTCGTGGAGAACCTCAGGTGTCTCTGCGCGGCTCTTCCTTCACCTAGCATCTTGGTGGAAGAGCAGAACCCGCATCTCCCTTGTGGATTTTTTTTTTTGAGGCATAATTGACATATAACTAATTCGGCCCATTTCCGACCTCCCAGGAAAGATCTGTGTGTGACTCTGGGAAGCATGTGTCAATGCCGAGGGCTTGGGGTGTCTTGTGAGTAGCCCTGAGGGTACAGACACTCCACAGTGCCCCAGGTTTCCTGTGATCACTCCTTGTTGGCTTATAGACTGTCCTGGCAGACAGTGGTATTCCCGGTAGCCCCTTTCTTGTCACAGAAACGAAAGGCTTCAAGCCCCATGCTGAAAAGTGGCAAACTCCAGTAAACAAAACTCCATATGGATGAGGGGGCTGGAGCGATAGCACAGCGGGTAGGGCATTTGCCTTGCACGCAGCCGACCCAGGTTCGATCCCCAGCATCCCATAAGCCCCCCCAAGCACTGCCAGGAGTAATTCCTGAATGCAGAGTCAGGAGTGACCCCTGAGCATTGCCTGGCATGGCTTCAAAACAAAACAAACAAACAGAAAAAAAACAGCAGCTCCATAGATGAGGGAAATCTTTGCCAAATGTCTAGAAGAACAGAGCCTTGATTCCGTGAGGTTATGTTCAGTAGACAAAGAACTTCTGCATCATTTTTTCTGACCAGATCTCATGAGAAAGTTACCTGAGTGAGGGCAGGGTCTCCATGAGAACCAGGATGCTGGGTGGTGTCTGTTAAGGGAACCCATGCCCACCCTCGCCGGCTGCCGCAGCCCCATCCCCCAGCCCTGAGGGTCTCTGCTGGCTTTGCTCTAACAGCCTCACTCCTGGGCACTGGTGGACACAGGTGGTTCTCTGGGGGGTGCAGTTGGGTTCCAGCAGGGCTCCGTGTGCGGTGCTCAGGTCACCCGTAGGTATAAGTAAATCAGGAAGTCCCTCAGGTGTCAGCGAGCAGAAGTGAAAGTGCAGGTTGTTATTAATAGAGGGAAGACCTTACGGGAGGGGACTGTGGGGAGAGCAGCCTGGAATGGGGAGCGGAGGTGGGTCCCCCTGAAATGGAATGCCTCCAACTCGCCTATTAAAAGCCGGAGACCAACAGCTGGGAATTTTTTTTTTCTTTTTTAAGAGCGCCCCGTGCAGCGTCAAAGAGCTAATCAGTCAGAGTCACTTGGGGTAGTCGAAGGCACCACAGAGCAAGTGGCAGGCTGACCCCAGCCCAGGGGGAGGCGGAGGTTAACAGGACAAAAGAACCGCCTTCACGTGGAATCCGCATTCCCGGACTGGGGCTGTCCACAGGAAGTACGAAACTGTCAGCACTCATTCCACAAAGCCACAACCACAGCGAGAGCGCTGAACACGCACCTCTTAGAATGTGTCACATCATGGAGATGTAGGGGGCGGGTCTTAGGGGGTTTGTGCCCAGGGACACCATCCATGTCCCTCAGAGCTTTCAAGAAGATATTCAGCTCAGATTCTCCTGGCAACAGTGCAACCCCATTCCGATGGAGCACGGAAAAGATGCAGAATGAGGTGGGGGGAGGGGAGGAGGAAGAGGCTTAAAAAAAAAACACCCTCCAGGTTAGAATTCTGATCTTTGTCAGGGACTCACAGGTTGAGAAATCACTATTCCCGTGCATAGAAGCGAATGACAGAAGTCCTGTGTGCTGAAAGTGAGATGCATGCAGGTGAAGAATTCTGCAAGAGAAGGAGCCAGTCCGGGAAGCTTTCATTTAAAAAAATAATAAGGAAAACTAGGAAAAGGGCAAAATAAGGAAAAATAGGAAAAGTATTAAATACAGCATGCAAAAATCTAGAAAGCAGAAGAAAATTAAGATGATTGCGAAAATTCCCGGAACAGATAAAACAATGCTACAGGATTTATCGTTTGCATCAGGAGATGAAAATGGAGTGATTGTCAGCAAGATCATGGGAATTGTAGGGGCTGGAGAGATAGGGCAGCGGGAAGGGCATTTGCCTTGCACGCAGCCGGCTCAGGTTCAATCCCCAGCCTTCCCCGTGAGCCCCGTGAGCATCCCGAGGTGTGACGCAAGCCCCATCCCCCTCAAACCATGGGTATCCTAAGTGTGGGATGAAAGTGAGGTTGGACCCAGCTGGCCGGGAAAGGTCCCTTGTGAGAAATATCTTTCCGAGAACTAGCCCGGCTTGGGGAGAGGCACGGTCCCGGCAAGCCTCGTGCCTCGGGGGCAGACTTTTTTTTTTCTTTTGGGTCTAATTTCCGTGAAAAATGGTTTTCTTGTTTTTCTTGACCATGCTCGGTCTTCTTCCAGGACATCACCTCAGGAAGAGGCCCCGGGGGCCTGTGTGACCCGGCGTGATTGGTGAGGGCGGGTGGGGGGGGGTGGGGGCGAGTGTCCAGTGTCCCTTCCAGAGCTAAGTGTGACTGCCAGGGCACAGGAGAGTCCGGGGTCTCGAAGCTGCCTGGGCCCCCCCATGCCCCGTCTGCCCTTTGGAACGACCGACTGTCCCGTGGAAGGTGGGCGCGTGGCCTTCTCCGTGCCAGGGTGATGCCCCGAGGGGAAAGTGCAGCCGAGAAAGGTGCTGAGGAAAAGCAGCCCTTGGCCACGACCCTTCCCCCCCCCCACAGACAGGGCTCATGTGGCCTCCTACACACCCTCTCTTCCGTGGTGACCGGATTCAAGGTTTCGTGTTTTTCTTAAACACTGAACCTGAATTGCCTGGGAGATGAGTGACAAGTCTGTGGGAGAAATGTGTGTGTGTGTGTGTGTGTGTGTGTGCACGTGAGTATGTGTGCATGCATGCGTTTGTGTGCATATGTGGGTATGCACGTGTGTTTGTCTCTGTGTGCATATGTGTGTGTCTGTGTGCGTGTGTCTGTGTGTGCATGTGTCTGTTTCTCTGTGTGTGTTTTTGTCTCTGTGTGCATGTGTGTGTCTCTGTGCATGTGTGTGTGCATGTTTGTGTTTCTGTGTTTCCATGTGTGTGTCTCTGTGTGTGTGCATGTGTGTGTCTGTGCGTCTGTGCATGTGTGTGTCTGTGTGTCTTTGTGTATCTCCAGAAACTCGTGCTGCAGGGCGGCCCTTCTGCCAGATCCTCTCACCCAGCCTCAGTGGTCACCTGTGTCTCTCCCCCTGGTGAGCCCTGGCCCTGGTCATGGCCCCCCAGCCTCCCCCGCCCGCCCTGTGCCCAGCTGTGAGCGAGGCAGGCCCGGGGCTTTCTGCCCTGAACCCGGCCACAGACACTGCGTGGAGGCGGCCAGCAGCACAGGCTGAGTTCCCCGGCCACTGGGTCAGGCCTGGGTTCTGGGAACCCGCGTTCCACCACGTTTCCCCCAGCCCCTGAGCACTGTCATGTTAGTCACTTCCCCTCCCCCCGGACAAGGAGAAACCCCTTGTATCCTTGGTGTCCTGGTCCTCAGCCAGTACCAGCTGGGGGGCGTTCCCCCCCCCCCCCCGGGCTCCCTGTCCCCAGGCATCGAGCCCAGCTCTCTCTGGGGGTTCCTTTGTTCTGCAGACATCTGCTGGGACACATCCAGTGGCCCCTGCCGTTGCATGGCATCTCGGCCCCCGTCCTGCCTTCAGCCCGCCCCCCCTTCCCTTGGCCGGGATGACCACTGCCTCTGTGACCTCACTGCCAGGCCCTCACCCGCCCGACCCACTTTCTGCTCATGCTTTCCAGGGGGCAGCCTGGGGCGTTCGCCTTGGGCTGCACTTCCCGGGGCTGTGGCTGGGCCGCCTTTCCCTGGGTTT